GAAACTGTTCTCTCCAAAGTTAACAACAATCTTTTTAATGGCCAATTATGATCTCCTCCGACTCTGCTGGCTGGGGACATTATAAATTCATGTTATCCAACTTCAACTGGGCTCTCACTTCGGTAAGGCAATCCTTTTATTTCTTCCCAAGTTCATTTCCTACAGAACCTATTCAAAACATTTTCTTCTCTCCTCAAGCTCCCCTCCCCTCCTACTCTCCTGTACTTCCATCTTCTGTCAGCTGAGGATCTCTTTACTAAGAAAACTGAGGCTATTTGTTGATCCTTCTCCCAGTCTCATCTCAAAAGCATCCCCCAGCATCTCCTCCCTTTCCCCAGTCTCTGACAATGATATGACCCTTCCCCTTGCCACAGTCATGTCCCTATACATTGATTTGATTCCACTTGATCTCATTCCCTCCATCTTATCCAATGTAATCTGAACCATTCCCTCTCTCTTGAATGTTTAAGCTGTCCCTATGTACCAGTTTCTTCTCTATTGGCTTTAGACATGCTCAAATCTCCCCTATTCTTAAACAAACAAACAAACAAACAAAAAACATCCTACCATCCCCTCAAGCTATAAGCTACTATCCTATGTACTATCCTCCTTTCTCCACCAAATTTCTTAAAATAATGTCTACCACTCACTGGCTCCACTTCTCTTCTTACTCACTTCTCAACCTCTTCCCTCAACTGAAACTATTCTCTTCAAATTTACCAATGATGTCTTAATGGCCAAATCTGATGATCTTTTCTTGGTCCTCATCCTTTTTAAACTATCTGCTGCATTTGACATTTTTGGCCATTTTTTTCCCTCCCAGATATCTTCTCTCTGGGTCTTTTTGATACTTCTCCCTCTTGGTTCTCCTCTTATGTGTCTAACCACTCTTTTTCAGTCTCCTCTCTTGGCTCACCATCTTTATTATGCCCCTTAATTGTGGGTATTCCCCAAAGTTCTGTTCTAGCCTTTCTCTTCTCTTCTCTCTGTTTCTCTCCAACTTTTTCTTGCTAACCTCATCAACTCCTTTGGATTTAATCCTATCACTTCTATGCAGATAATACACAGAAATAAATATCTAGCCCTAGGCTCTCCCCTGAGCTTCAGTCCCATCGGGTTTTCTAATTGGACATTCCCAACTGTCTTGGAGACATCTCAAACTCAAGATATGAAAAAGTGAACTCATTATCTTTCTCCTCAAACTCTCTTGTCTTCCAGACTTCTTTATTTCTGTTTAAGGTACCACCATCCTTTCAATCTCCCTGGTTCATAAACTTGCATTATCTTCAACTCCTTCTCCCTCTCTCCATGTACCCCTATCTATTGTAATTTCTACCTCCACCACTCTCTTATCCAGTCCCTTCTTTCTATTTATCCACTTACCATTTTAATTCAGGCCCTTATCACTCCTTGCCTAGATGATTATAACAGCATCCTAATTGTTCTAATTGCCATAAGTCTCTTCCCACTCCCATTGCCACTTCCTATTGGAACTGTGGCTGCCAAAGTGATTTTCCTAAATTTCCTTCCTTCCTTTTTTCCTGCCCTTGAAATTCTTCCTCCCTGATCAGGGGAAACTCTTCATTTAACATTCTAGTAGAATGTAAACTCCTTGAGAGCAGAAACTGTTTTGTACCCTCAGTGCCCAGCACATGGCAGGCACTTAATCAGTGTTTGGTAAATTGACTTGCTTTAGTCAGTTGCAGTTGAGCAGAAATGTAATGGAGGGTTAAAACTTTGAGGTCCTCAGTCTGGCAAATCACATTTTGTGAGTTTATGCACTAATATAATTGTTCCAGGTTTGTGAGGAGTGAGAGGGAAGCAATGTATCCTCTGGTTTAGTTGCTAAGCATAGAACTATAATGACAGATAATAAGATCAACCAACTCGCAGTGCCAAAGTAAAAGGAGAGAATCACTAAAGGAATACAATGTAACAAGGTAAAAAAGGTGAGAAGTTGCTTGTTAGAAACCTACCAAGATCATACCTTGACATGTTCCCCACTGACGACATAGTTCTTGAAGCATTCCTCATTAGAACATGACAAGTGTATTTTATTTGGAGGAGAAAAACCCAACCAAATTTGATTTATCATTGCAGGCATGAAATGAAAAACTTTCATTGGTTTAGTCTGGCCTGCTCAGGATGGTCTGAGCAAAATGAATTATTTTGCACTTAACTGCTTTTTCTTTAAGTATATAATTTTAAAATACTTAAAAAAACCCCAACAGATACCAAATAGCCTTCAGGCTTGGAATGTATTGTAAAAATTCCAAAATGAGATCATCTAAAAAAGGCTGTTGTCAGCATGATTATCTGAAAACTTGCAGGAAAAAGTCACAAACTTAAAAAAAAGATCACTTAACCCCAGAGGATGAATTAATTGTTCTATACACAGCCTGCCTTGGACTGTTGTGGTCTGTTTGTATTTCGGTGCGGGAAAATCAGGCAAACTGGGCATTTTAGCCAGAGCTTAATGATAACTTCAGTTCATAATTTATGCCCAAAATATCAGCGTGATGTAGAAAAGTGTAATACCTGAAATCAAGAAATCTAGGTTTTAATGATGCCAGATCCAAAAGCTTATATACCTAGGCAACCATTCCCTGCCTGAGAAAGGAGAGTCAGTATGGAATAGTAGAGAGAACCCTATACTGAGAGTCATGAGATCTTGTCCTGGCTCTATCACTAGAGTTAGCTATGTGACTTTGGGAAAGTTATTTAACCTCTCCTAGCCTCAACTTCCTTATCTGTAAAATGGGGATAATAATAAGAGGGCTATCAGGAGGAAAGTGCTTTGTGAACTTCAAGGCATATATTATTTTTATGGAATTGTTACATGAAGATCAGTATCATAGATACATTCAAAATAATAATAATAATAGTAACAACATTATTTATGTAGTGCTTACTTATGTGCCAGGCACTATGCTAAGTGCTTTATAAACTTTATCTCATTAGATCTTTGACAAAAACCCTGAGAAGTATGTTCTTGTTATTCCCACTTTTCAGATGAAGAAGCTGAGGCAAATAGAGGTGACATGACTTGACCAATGAAACACAGTGTCTGAGGCTGGATTTGAACTCAAGTCTTCCTGACTCTAGGCCTACTGCTCTACCTACTCCACTACCTAATTTTAGTCAGAGCTAGGACAGAACTTAGAGATCATGTTAGTTCAGGGCCTTCATTTTATGGGTGAGAAAAGTCCTAGAGAGAGGAAAGGACATGTCCATACTGTCACACATCAAGTCAGGGCCTGAGTTGGTACCAGAACCGTCTCCCTTATTTCCTATATGAGGGGTTCTTACCTCGGGGGTCTGTGAACTTGTTTTATTAAACTATCATTATGAATCAAGAGAAGTGCTTGCATAAGTCACAAACAGTAATTACATAGGCCATTATTACATCCTTTGCAGTTGTGATTTTGCTCTGTTAGGTATTCAAGGTGTAATCTTTTATCACCCTGTGATGAAATAATTCACTAACTCCAAATATTTGTTGGGCTTACCTATATCCACTCCTCAATCTTGCCACTGGAAACAATTAAATAATCAACGTGAAAGATACAATATTAGTAAAGGAAAACAAATCAGGGATCTGGCCTGGACCTGTGATTTCACTGGTATGGGGAACTCCCAGATGAAGAAACCCTTTCTGCTAATTTAGAGTATTGCTCTTCTTGCAATGTATTAGTCTTGGAGAATTTCCTAGGTCAGCAAAGAATGTGTGATCACACAATTAAGAGGGGGAAAGAACGGTTGCTTCCCATCCTCCCCAGTTAGCTAATTGTGGGGCTTGTTTTTAATGTAATCATGCCAACCTTTTACCCATTACAGGTCAATGCTCCCCCATTCTATCCCCTCTTACCTCTTTGAAAGTTCCCAGCTTTTCCTCATTTTGATTCAAGCATCAACTTCTCAGGGTAGTTATAACCTAACCCCTGCCCAGGACAACAGCAGCTGGGCAGGAACTACTGGGGAAATCTGCCTGTTTGCCCCCACAGCATGCCCATAAAATTTTGTTTTTAATTGACAGGTAGTGTAAGACCAAAACCATTTGGTGACCACTGGTCAAGGTCATTGAGGGTAACACAATCAGTATGTGCAGAGATGAAACTTAAACCCAGGTATTTCTTCCTGGTTCTGAGGCTGATTCTCTTCCCACTACTTATCCTCATCCCATTCCTAAACAAACAAATTAATAGCCAAACACAAATTAACAGTTCTAGATAGGGAGCCAGAATGCTGCTATTGAGGCCTTTTGGAACAGTTGGGGGAATCATAGGGTCATTCATAGTTCTTGAGTGGGAATGGATCTGAGAGGCCATCTAGGCCAACCTTTTCATTTGACAGATATAGAAACTGAGGCCCAAGAAGGTTAAGCAACATTAATACAGTGCCTGGCACACACCAAGCACTTAATAAATGTTTACTGAATTGAACTGAATGTTCAGGGTCATACAGGTAGTAAGCATAAGAAGCAGGATCTGAACCTAGGTCCTCTGATTTCAGAGCTCTCTTTAGGGCTATCTGGTTTCATTAGAAGGTTGTTACTAAATGACCCAATTAATTCTCTTCCTTTCCCAAGCAAAGCCTTCTCCATCTCCCTTGTCCTAAATGACACAACACCCTGTCCTCCTCCAGTTACCACACTCTCTCTCAGGTGCCAGACTTGTCTCTGTTCTTGTTTTCAGGGTCAAAGTCTCAATCTCAGACAAGCAAATAATGAAGCAGATGAGGCCATTACAGTATGCCATGCCCAGGGAAATGAACTCAGGCTACAGTCATAGCGACTGAGGGAGGACCAGTGATGACTCAGGAATAAGCTGCAGCAAACAGGTGAGGGCGGCTCTAAGTCCCAGAGACAGGTCTGCTACTAGCAGGCAATAAACCCAGGAAGAACTGAATCCAGGCGCAAACCATTACCTGGAGGGGGGAGAGGGCACTGGGGTAGAGGGGAGGTAGGGTGGTATCTCAGATGGAGTTTTTTGATGGCTTACCTTATTACCGTTGGGGTGATCTCTGCACAGAAGAAAACACTGAGGCTTCCCACTGCATGTGAGGCGAACATACCCACAATGGAAAACGTGGTGGAGAATTTCTCTCTGACTTTTTCACTCATTCCTAAAGATTAGAGAAAGTGAGAAGAGGCAGGGAGGGAAGAGAGAGCAGTGAAGATGGGGAACCAAGGTGGGGCATGGGGGGAGTGGGAAGTGGGGGAGGGGAGAAAAGATAAGGAGAAAAGGCAGGGGTGGTAGTAGAGTAGAGAAAGATCCTTCTAAATTATGACCTTTCCCACTCTATTAAAAAACATATGCTAGTTTCCTACAAAACCCAATAAAAACTTCAGGGAATTATGAGATCAGATGCCTCTGAGAGGTAGGTTTCATCACCCCTTCAGGATACGTAACTAAGCTTCCTTTGTGGGTCAAAAAAAGTGAATACTCACAGGGCTGCTGCAAATGATAAGAGCCTCTCCCAGCACCCCGTATAAAAAACATAATTGTAGTAGTGGTTGAGGTGTTATTGTGATCTTATGATGGGGCAGTGGCCTTCCTTAAAATTTTTGCACTCGATTTTCTTTTCATCCAGAGAGGATGGATTCTGAGCCCCAGTCATCTTTTTCTTTTTGGTCCCTGGCTTGGATAGTCTAACACAAGAGCATCTCAATCCTTGCAATTAAAGAACATGAAAATTCAAGTTCTCCCACTATGATACAGAAATTCTGTTTCTCCAAATGTGACCCAGAAGGATGTAGTTTTGGGAGAGACATGCTGAAATATGCTAAGCATCTTGGAAGTTGATGGCAGATGAGCTTGAGTGTTTTAACCAGAAGACAATCTCATAACAAATGTCCAATCCAGCCAGACACACCTCCATGCTTCTGGGGTTCATGAGCTAAGAAACTCTCAGTATTGCTAGAAGGTGAGACTCAGAATTTGCAACTTATATGAAAATAGTAAAGAACTCCCAGAGGCATCCAGTTCAAATGGGTAGGGTCAGGGATATCTAATTAGCAGCAGGGGGATTCAGTGCAGTTGTACTGCATCACTGATCCCAACATGCTGGGGCAGGCTGATGACAATTTCCTTAGGCAACGTAGCTGGCAAGGCCTCCAATGCCTTCCATGGTGTTAGCACTTCCCAGGTCTCTCTGCCCATAAGACAAACGGCACTCACGCTCATTCCAAAGGCTGGGGTTGACAATCATTGCCAAGGGAAGAGGTGAAGGGACACATGCTAAGCTGGGCAAAAATTAGCCATTTCTGGTGAAAGGAAGGATAGCAGGAAGGTATAGAAGAATGCAAAGAGTATTTCCCAACCTGTGGCAACCTTCATCTGCAATACTTGGGTAGGTGAGGGGGGGAAATCAAGTGTATAAAAAATCAATGAATTTTATGAGTCTCGAGAAAAGTGCCCAGTTGTACATAGCAGAAAGATGAGATGATGTAGGGGCATGGCACAAGGAGGTAAAACTTACCCGAGCCTGGATGCTGGCTGTATTTTCCAATCACTGGATCCAAGAAAATAAATGTACCGTAGTGAAAGATGAAGTCAAACAAGAAAAAGAAGAAAAGAAAGTAAGCATATTAGTGATGGGGTCATTGCCTATTTCCATGCAATTTATTTACAGATGCACTTCATTTCTTATCCGAGTCACTGCTGTGTTGGAAGAAGCTCTCTTCAGAGTTTGTGTGACACATAGCATAAGTGTCTTGCCAGCCCAGATCTGAGCCAGAGGCCAGAATCATAATGAGATGCTGAGAATGAATGCCCAGCGATAACGACTTATGAGGCACTGAGAATCAGTACTTGAACTATACAAAGATTTCTTTGTTGGGGAAGTAAGGACAGGAAAAAAGAAAAAAAAATCCAATGGTTTCCAACCCATGGCTTTAGGAGTTTGGAGAGAAAAATGAGCCCTCCAGAACAATCCCAGAAGGTCTTAGCCTCAAACCAAGAAGTGAGCTTTACAGCATACAAAATTATTCAAAAACTGTTCCTGGCCTGTGTTCAGGAGAAGCATCAAATACTTTGAGGACTGAACCAGCCAGACAGCATTTTTTGTGAGCTCATTACTTCATGTCATTTGACAAAGCTTCTGGGACAGTCTAAACCAGAGTCCAGAATGGAAAGTCTGTGACACCCTCCAAGGCAATCTCCCATCCCCCCAAGGTCTCTGGCTCACTGCCTTTCTTGGTAGAACCCACTCCCAAATCTCCCAATGAACTTAGAATAGTTCCTTCATTCCCTGACCCAGGTGATGGCCCATTTGGGAAAAGAGAAGGAGACAAGCTACTTCATCACAGAGAATTAATTCCTTATTCCTTTTTGTTTCTGAGGGATAGCTTTAAAAAACAAATAAACAAAAAAAACCACTCTATCTCTTAGCCCAATAGGGAATGTCTGAGTAAGCTAAGTTAAACAAAACACTCCTGATGTCTGAAATGCTATTTGTAAAACTTTCCAGGGGCACCAAATCTCCTCTACGCAAGAAAGTCCAGGGACGGCCGTCAGACAGAGATTGCAGTCCTTTGTGTTTGTTTTTTCATGTAGATCTTGAGGATGAGAGTAAAACTCAGACCACTTGTGGGTTTCCTTTTTCTTATCTTCAGTATGATGTTGTGGAAAGGACTCTGTATTCTGTTGAATGGAGTGTTCACCTCAGTTTTGTCATTAGATCAAGGCATGACCTTGGACAAGCTGAGCCATCTCCCTGGGCCTCAGTTTTCTCATCTGTAAAATGAGGGGAGTGGTACTAGAGGGTCTCTGGGGTCCTTCCCAGGTCTGACATTCTGAGGTTCTATACCCTACAGCTATACAGTTAAGATTGCAACAGTTCCTTTTGGTTTTTCTTGTGTCCACAGGGAAAATACAACAGCAACAACCATCCCCTAGTGAACTGAGCCCTTGTCCCAGGGTATCTGGTTCTTTAGGTACAAAGACAGGTCAGCAGCTCCATTCACTCATCCATCCCTTTCTCTGGATGCGCTAAACGAGCGGCCAACCAAACATGATATTTCTATACGTGAATGAGAGTGGGGCCTTTGTCCTCTCGGAGCCTGTTTTTATAATAACAAGACTAGATGCCTTCCCCACCTCTGTGTGCAATTCTTTCTAATTTTCTGAGAAATTCCACAGACCCGACAAAAAGCAGAATTAGGAAGCGTTTGTTAGAAAACAAGTCAGACCTTCTGCATAAAGAGTTGACTGAAAAAATGGAAATGTTCTGACCTCTTTCCCCCCTGCCCAACTAATTTCGTCTACCAGAACGTATGATCTGTTCTTCCTCATAAGGCAGCAATGTGCTTACTTATTATAAGCTGGCCCCATGAGGACTTGGAGACTCTCCCATCTCACTTAATAACAGTGCAGCCAGAAAGGCCTTAGGAAAGCTTCGGTAACTTTTTCCTCTTTGTTAATCCAGAGAGTAGAAAAAAGAGCCCAATAAAATCACTTACCATAAATGTTCTTAATTAAAGCTTTTTTTTTTCTTCCCCAACCCAACAAAGCATTTTTTCTCAAGCTGCTGAATTTGGAGTAACAGCCTCTGTGCTCTGAGCACTTTTCTCTTCCAGAGGCCCCGCCACAGTCCTGGGCAAAATGTATGCAAAGAGCCCTCTAAATGTGAGCTGCTATTTATTTTATGGGGCTCCTCTTCTTGGGGGTATTGCTGACTGTCTGCTACACCTGCCCCCTCCACCCCAGCTCTTTAAGGGCATGTGTAGATAGGAGTTAAGCCGATTCTGCTTGTGGAAGGTGCGAAGATGGGATGGTGGGCCCCTGAGCTTCAGCCCAGCCTCCAATCCCCAGACTCCTTCCCCAGCCCTGTGTCCCCCACTTACGGTTGAGGAGGCCAAGCTGCAAAAGGGAGGCCAAGGCTGTGAGGATCATGAACAGGAGCAGCCCTCCCCTTCGGCCCAGGAACCTGACCACCAGACACATGGCCAGGCAGGAAGCTAAGGCTATGCCCGCCGTGGTATAGTAGTCGGCATAGAAGTTCGTGAGCAGTGGTAACTCGTGGCCCATCATGCTCCTAGCAAAGCAGTGGTGGATCCCAAACCCGGTCAGCCTAGGCAAGACATACACAAAAGGAAAGCGGCAGGTCAGGGAGCCAGCAATATGTGGTGGCAGGAGGACCAATGCAAGGGAGAACGTTTCTAAACCAGGACTCTGACCACTGGGTAGGCAGAACTGCAGAAAAACCACTCATGGCAATCATGGGGCTACAGACAGTCACTGGATCTCAGCTTCTGTTTTCTGCCTATTTTAGAAGGAGGGGAGACAAAGTGAATGGAGCACAAAGAACACAAGAGTGAGACTTGAGACCTGAAATCTGGTTTTGGCTCTACATCTTGCTAGATTTATGACCTTGGGCAAATGAGCTCAAATACCTGAGCCTCAGTATCTTTATCTGTAAAATGAGGGGGTTGGATGAAATTATTTTAAAGCTTCCTTCCAGGTTTTAAAATCCTTTGATTCCACCTGCAAAGTGAGCCCTTCTGGTCATCTTAGGAATCAAATCAAATGAAACACACAAATAACACTGGATTCTTGCTGTTCCTTGAACAAGAAATGCTGTCCCCCAGCTGTGAGCATCTTCACTGGCTGTCCCCCATGCCTGGAATACTTCTGGCTTCTCTGGCCTCCTCCAAGTATCAGCTAAAATTCCACCTTCTACAGAAAGCCTTTCCTGATCCTTGTTAATTCTAGTGACTTCCCTCTGGATTATTTCCATTTTGTCCTGTATATAACCTGTTTGTATGTAGTTGTTTGAATATTATCGTAGAGCCTTTCCTTGGCTCTCTAGTGCTCAACACAATGCTTGGCACATAGTAGGTGCTTAATAAATGCTTCCTGACTGACTGAAATAAAGCCCTCTTCCCCAATTCACCACTGCTCTATATTTCAGTTTCCCTTAGTGCCTGAAGTAAGGGAGATGACATGGGATATCTTTTAATGACTTTTCAGAAGGACCTGAAATAATCCCACTATCTCTTTTAAAGTGATGGGCTTCTGAGGACTGAGTCTAAGGATAAAACCTCTGCTTTATTTCTTCAACTGCTATCATTCATGAACAGTCACTTGGATGTTGAGGTGAATACACTGATATGCCCTGCTAAGGATGACATCTTGTTTTGAGAGAACTCCACAGTGCTTTACTGATCATTATCCATTAAAAGGCCCTCTTCAAGAACAGAGACTATTTTATTTTTGTCCTTGAATCCCTAGTACTTAGCAGTATGTGGCATGAAGAAAGTGCTTAATAAATGCTTATTTATTGATTGAAATTATTTGGAACTTCTCTATGAGGGAGGGAACCAAATGGTGGCATTAGAGCTAGCACTAAGAATTCAGGTACCTGAGGGAAATTGAGATGGTGGTGGTGGTAGATGGAGAACCCTTACATATCCCAGGGCCAGCACCCATTGTCCTTGCTACGGATCCTATGGTTCTCCTGTGTGTATCCAGGTCAGGTGGTGTGTAGGTAGTGTGTTCTAAGTGGATAGAGTTCCAGTGGTCGGTGAAGCCAGAGGAGAGGGATAGAACCATGAGAAGGGAGGGAACCTAGACAGGGTAAGGTGGAGGGCATGTTGCTTACTTCCCATGGTAGCTCCCTGCTGACTCCATGTTGTCCAGTCACAGACAGGAAGCACGCTCTCCCCTAAGCTGGGGCTAAGCCTTTCTTGGTCTGTGATAGCTTGGCAGTAGCATTAGGACACACCAGCTTTAGAAACGAGAACCCCAGAGGAATGACGCATTTTGCCTAGGGTCAGATTGGCTGGGGTCAGGATGGAGTTAACAACCAAATCAAGGGCTGTATGTATGTAAGAACTAGAAGAAATGTGGAATGATAACAGTACCAAAAGGGTATCCTAACCATCAAGGAAGCAGAACTATAGAATGCCCCTCCTCCCCCTACCTGCAAACAATCAATGAAGCTCACTGACTGAAACAAAGCCATCAATTTCTTGGAGAATAAACTTAACTAATTTGAATTCTAAAATGTCCCTGGAGGAGAAAATGATATATGGTATGCACTGTTTTCCCTGACTACTTCAAACATCAAACCTAAAGCTGTTTTAGACAGTCTAGTGAAAATTGTGGTGTCATGGATAAATGGCTGGCTTTGTGTCAAGATGACCAGTTTAAATATTACCTTTCCTGACACATACTAGCTGTGTGACCCTGAGCCCTGGGCCTGAAGTCAAGACCCAATTTCAAATCTGGCTTCAGATGCTTACTAGCTACAAGACCCTGGGCAAGTCACTTATCTTCTGCCTCAGTTTCCTCAGCTATAAAATGAGGAAAATAGTAGCACCTACCTTGCAGAGTTCTCGTGAGGGTCAATGACATAATATTGTAATGCATTTAGCAGGGCACCTGTCATATAATAAGCACTCAATAAATGCTTACCTTTTCCTTCCTTCCTTCCTTCCTTCCTTCCTTCCTTCCCTCCCTATCAAGTGCTTCAGGAAATCCTCTAAGACAGAAGTTCTTAATTTTTTGTGTGTGTTAGCTAGGTGGTGTAGTGAGGCAGCTAGGTGATAAAGTAGATGACCTGAGTTCAAATCCAGCCATAGACCCTTCCTAGGTGTGTGACCCTGAGCAAGTCACTTAAATCTCTGTTCGCTTTAGTTTCCTCAACTGTTAAATGGGCATAATAATAGCACCTACCTCCCAAGGTTGTTATGAGGATCAAATGAGATTAATATTTGTAGGGGCAGCTAGGTGGTGCAGTGGATAGAGAACCAGCCCTGGATTCAGGAGGACCTAAGTTCAAATCTGGCCTCAGACACACAACACTTACTAGCTGTGTGACCCTGGGCAAGTCACTTAACCCCATTGCCTAGCCAAAAAAAAAAATAGAAAAAAAATTGTAAAGCAATTAGCCCAGGGGCAGGCACACAGTAGGTGCTTAATATATGCTTGTTTTCTCCCTTTCCTTCCATCATGGATTCTTTTGGCATCTGGTAAAGCTTATGGATTCCTCAGAATAGTGTTTTTAAATGTATAAGATACAGAGTATTACATAGGAAACCAATTATATACAGTTACATCAAAATATTTATAGAATAAGTTCATGACATGACTCTCCCCCCAACCACTCTAGGTTCTTACATTGCAGAGCAGGTGCTGAACTTCACTGGTGGAGAGTATTTTCTCACCAGGAGTTCTATGTACCATGAAATCAAAATGTGCGGTCCAAAACCAGTCAAAATAACCGAGTAGTCCAATGATCCTTTTAAGAACCCATGAAATGTCATCTATTTTTGTCTTTGGGCACTCTCCTGCTTTGATCTTTCTGACTTGGAGATCACCCCGTACTTACCTTTTGCCTTGCATTTCCACAGCCTCTGAACGTGCAAGACCCGACCTAGACCTCCTGATTCTCCTGGGCTCAGACTCCATGCCTTTGGACCCTGGTGCTTTGGGTCAGTTCCCAAATTGAAGCTTCTGTTTGTTCTGAGCCCTCAGGGGGAAAGGGAGCATGGGAAATCAGTCCAAAGAGCCAGTGCTGCTCAGGTTTCTGGCTTGCTCAGTATATATTACCAGGTTACAGTGGGCAAGAACGTTGGATTCAGAGTCGGAGGTCCCGGGTCCACATATTGGCTCTGCACCTTGCTCTCTGGGACCTCGTCACTTCATCCTTCTAGGCTTCGGTTTGTGGTCTATAAAATGAGGGGCTTGGACTAGATGACCTCCAAGGTCCTTTCATGGCTAAATCTGACCCATGGCTCAGTACTGTGTGGTTATCACGACAGTGGCACTTTTTAATTGATGACCGTCTTAGCCCTAGGGGAATGATGTTGTATTTATGAGGGCTTAATAGAATTAAAATGCCTGCCTGGTGATTCAAAAGGCGAGAGAGCGATGTCACCCTCTATAGTGGCTACGGCTGAGTAGGCAACTGAAATAAAAAAGGTTTCATGTACAGAGTGTCAGCTGAGAGAACTCATCAGTCAACAAGGGTTTATTGAGCTCCTACTATGTGGTAGGCACTAAGGATGGAAATACAAAGAGTGAAACACTTCTTGCTTATAAAGAACTTCAATTCTAACAGGAGAAACAACGAGGATGCATGCAGAATAAATATAAACCGAATAAATGCAAGGTGGTTTGACAGGAAGGGTACAAAGTTGCGGGGGGAATCAGGAAAGTCTTTGTATAGATAGTGCTTGAGCTGGTCCTGAAGGAAGAAAAAGACATTATGAATGGGAAGGGAAGTGAGGAGGAGTGGAATCCAGGCATGGAGGATGGCCAGTGTAAAGGCCCAGATATGAGAGATTGAATGCCTGATGTGTGGGACAGAGAGAAGGCCAGTATGACCAGATCTCAGAGTAGGAAGGGAAAATAACATCCAATGAAACCAGAAAGACTGATTGGGGCCAGGCTGTAAAGTGCTTTAAAAGCTAAAAGGAGGGGACAGCTAGGTGGCACAATGGATAGAACACTGGCCCTGGATTCAGGAGGACCTGAGTTCGAATGTGACCTCAGACGCATAACAAGTACTAGCTATGTGACCCTGGGCAAGTCACTTAACCCCACTGCCTAGCCAAAAAAATAAAATAAAATAAAATAAAAGCTAAATGGAGGAGTTTTTGTTTGATTCTAGAGGCAACAGGGAGACCCAGAGTTTAGGGTCATCCTCAAATGTGAATCTCTGAAGTGAACCGCTGTAGGACTTCCTCTTGCTTGTCCTGATCAGGAAAGAGTTAAAAAACAAAAAACAAAAACCAAAAACCCACCAGCCTCCATCAGAAGACCTAGGTTCTGGCTCCAGGTCTTCCAAAAAATGACTTGTGTGACCTTGGGCAAAACAACTACTTCTCTGGTTAGATGAGATACTTCCTGAGGTCTATTCCAGCTTTGACATTACCTAACATTACTGTAGTATTTTCAATTTTTTGAAGCACTGTATGTGTCTTTCCATTTAATCCTCATGATAACCCTGTGAGGTAGGTACTATTATTATACCCATTTTTCAGGCAAGGAAACTGAGGCTGAAAGCCATTAAGTGACTTGCCCAGAGTCACACAGCTGGTATCTAAGGAAGGATTTGAACTCAGGTATTCTTTCTTCTTCCTCTCTTATTTGGAGTTTCAGAGCCACCAGAGGACAACTGGCTAAAACTAACTCTTCTATCAATTCTTTTTTTTTTAATTAGACTTTTTAATTTCATCCTAGAAGAGGAAACTCTCTTTAGAGGTTAAGTGACTTGCCTAGGGTCACACAGCCAGAGTGTACCAGAAGCAGGGCTTGAACCTCCATTTCTCTGGAGGCCAGTTTTCTATTTATTATTTCTTCCTCTCATCAATTCTTACTTGCTCCCTGTGTGACCTTGTCATTTCAACTTTCTAGGTCTCAGTTCCATATCTGTTACCAGGGGCTTAGACTAGAATGACCTTGAAGGTCCCTTCCTGCTCTAAATCTATGAAACTATGGTTCTTAGCAGCATGTGGTATTACTACGGTTGTATTTTTAATCGATGGTTCTCTTAGGCCTGGGGGGAATGGTACTATGTTTATTCTATTTCGACAAATCAATATTGAAGAAGCCAATAGTAAAATAGGCAGGAACCACATGATTTTCTAATTCTTAACCCCTTCCTTGCCCCTGTGGGAACAAGTCACACAGGGATTTTTTCTCTACATTATGATTTAAACTCTACAGGGAGATGTATGCCTGGTCTTTGCAGACAATTGTCTACTCTCAGAAATAACATGAATAAATATACAGCCATGGGTTCCCTAAGAGCTCTGGGTTTCTATAAAGATGCAAACACTGGGTCTCTGAGAGTGCTGCATGCAGAATCATTGCCAGGGCTCTGAAAGCTTATCCATCCATCCATCCATCCAGCTCTCAGCATCCATCCTATAATTATAAGCTGCAGATTTTCTCATGATCTCCCTTTGGTGTTGCAGGGAAATCAAAAAAGCTTTTCTTCAGCCCTTGAGAATGCATCAAGGTCAGCAGATCAGTTGCCTAACATTTCCTGCAGTCAGTCAAAAGACAGTCCTTGCTCACAAGCAGCTGACACTCTAAAGGGGAAGACGATATATAAACAACTGTCCCAATGAGCTACATAAAGGATGCCTTGGAAATAATCAATAGAAGGAAGGCATTAGAACTAAAAGGGAATGGGGAAGGCTTCCAGTAGAAGTGGGGATTTTAGCTGGGACTTGAAGGAAGCCAGGGAAGAAAGGAGAGGGGAATGAGGAGGAAGAGCATTGCAGGCATAGGGGACAGCCAGAGAAAATGGTGGGAGCTGAGAGTTGGAGTGTTTTATGTAAGGATCAGCCAGAAGGCCGGTATTAGTGGATCTCAGAGCACTGGGGGGAGTGTAAGGTGTAAGAACACTGGAAAGGTAGGGAGTGGCCTGGCGGTGACTGCAAGCCACTGGAGTTCACTGAGTAGGAGGGTGACGAGGTCAGACCTGCACTTTAGGAAGACCACTTGGACAGCTGAGTGGAAGGTGGATGAGAGGATCTCCCCTCCTTTCTCCCAGTACCACTCTGGCCAAATGAATTTTTCCATTTAGGAAATATTAATCAGGTCATACATGGGTCAACTATTTAAAGAGTCTAGTGCTCTAGGTATTGACTAGGTTTAGGTAAGAATCCTCAATCCTTCTTCCCCTAAAGCCTAAAATAACAGCTCACATTTACATAGTGTTTTCAAATTTACAAAGCAGATCATTCCACCTCCTCCTCCTCCTCCATCCTCACCCTTATCCCCACCTTGTGAGATATGGAACTATTATCTTAATTTTACAGATGAGGAAACTTGCATCACACAGCAAAGAAGGGTCAGAGCTTGGATTTGAAACCACATGTTCTGACTCAGTGGCCCTCCTTCCATTAAACTGCCTAATTTAGGGAGAGCAGAGGGAAAATATTCCCAGCCTCTTTGAAATCTGGGAGTTTTCCTAGCCTTAAAATTGTCATAAAGCTGACGTGATTGGATTTTCCCACCACAGTTTTAATAACCTCTTAACTTTACATATCACTTGTGTCAAGTTTCTCATCTCTGCAATCTCAATGTTGAAAAAAAACAATGTGTTGCCCTCATCAGCCTAGTTACCAAATATAGGAATTAGCATATTAGGGACTGCTTTGGGTGGGTACAGTACTCCCACCTGAACTGAAAGTCAGAAGGCTTGCACTTCTATGGTTAGCTCTGTCATGTCACTATGTGATAAGAGACAGGTCACTAATTTCTCCAGGCCTTAGTTTCTTATCTGCAAAATTAGATGATTGGTTGGATAAGATTACTGTTTCTCAAGCTATGTTTTTTTTTTTGAAACCTGCTATTTTGAGCTCTGGGCATAGTGGCTTTTTGAGAATTTTATTTCTTCCTCAAAAAATTAAATATGAGATTATCTATGTGTCATAAATATAATTACGAGCAACACCTTGGGAGGGGTATGGATAGGCTTAATTTCCCTCTATTTTTTATCCAAAATTTCCAACTCCCCTTTACCCTGGGGGCTAGTCCACATCCTTAGATCTCCCAGATCTGCACTTAGGGGTTCTGTCAACATATTGTAAACCACAAAATGTTCTATGGCCAATTGGTCTAGGAGAGGTTGGATTGGATGATCTGTAATGCTTATTTCAACTCTAACATTCTATGATTGAACTCTTACCTTAAAATCATACAGAAACCCAATAGAATGCATTTAAGGAATGAACAGAGTGTTTCCTGATAATAGGCAAGGGAAAGGTAGTGTTATTTAGCTGGGAGTAGATAAAGGAAGAAACCTGCTTGGTCCTTGTGTCCTAAGGAGCTGTCCATAGAGCCTTAAGTTTCCTCAACTGTAAAATGGGGCTCAGAAGATACAAGTTGGAAGGAGAATCCGAAATCAGATTAGAAGGGGCTGCTAAAGAAAACTTGAGTGGGAGGCTCTGAGGAGGAGGGAAGATAGCTGTCAGTTACTTGTTTGGAGAGATAATGAGCAACTAGAGGTACTGAGAAAATCCACCCAATGTAGGTCACAAGTGGAGGAACATACATATTGAAAAGGGCTCCCTTAAAAATATTTGGTAGTGTGGAGCAGCTAGGTGGCACAGTGGATAGAACTCCAGCCTTGGAGTCAGGAGGATCTGAGTTCAAATTTGGCCTCAGATACTTGACACTTACTAGCTATGTGACCCTGGGCAAGTCACTTAACCCAATGCCTAGCAAAAGACAAAACAAAAAAAAAAAACATTTAGTAGTATATATGGGTCCTGTGTTGTTTCAGACGCAACACAAGACCTTCTGGGGGTTTTAAATCCTCTATAAGATCCTATATGAACCCCATCCATGGGATTTAGAAACTGTAAATCACCCTAGAGACAATCCAGTAATGCTCCCTTATTTTAAATGAGGAGCCTGAGATCCCCCAATGAGAAGTTACTTGCCCAAATTTTATATAACTTCAATAGTGGCAGAACTGGGATCTGAACTCAGGTTCTCCTGACTCCCAGTCTAGTATTGCTTTACCACACTGCCTTGCTTTGGGACTTCTATCCACATTCCCAGGCATTACACAGACCAGTGACCCCAAAAATCTTACCTTTAATCCTGTTTATTAAGAAATTCACTACAAGATGGGCCTATCCTGGGATTCCCATTCCAAAGCTATATTAGAAACAGAGAAGAATTCTCTAACATAGGCTCACTCGCAAGGTTTCCTCTATGTGAACTACAGGGAGGTCCCAGTGGACTCCCAAGATGTTTGCCTTTGGATAGAAGAGATTAGAGAGACAAAGAGTCTTTTCTTTCAAAGGCCACAATTCCATATTTGGGTCAGAGGGGTAAGACTGCCTGCCCCCTTCTTATCAAGAATGCAGAGGAGAAACATGTGCCTCTCCTTCAACTGCCCCTCCCCTGATGCTCTCAACTTTTCTATTCCCTTTCTGCCCTGGCTTTCTCCATACTTACGAGTTCACGCACAGGACCACAATGTTTTTCCATAGGTTCCTTGTCCCCACCACTTTCACAATGCAGACCTTCTTGGGTCTTCTGGAAAGTTCCTTCTCCAGTTCTGCAATGAAACAAGACCATGAGACCCCCCTGACAGGCAGCAGGGAATCTGCTGGCTCCCTTCTGAGCTGGCCAGGTCCATTTCGGGATTTTGTCATTTTGGGAAGGGGAGAACAGTTTTTCCCTCTAGAAGCTGGGATAAGACAGGAGAGAGAAGAAAATGGAACGTAAGTCTGGTAGAATGGATTTGATGTTACTGTAGAATTCCTCCAATAGTGCCTGAGGCAAAAACATGGAAACATTATCAATCTGAGGTTTTTTTTTTTCTTAAACTCTTGGTGAAGATACAGAGTTTATAATGATACCCCAGCCTACCAGTACAATACGTAGGCACCTAATAAACCAAATCAAGCAGTTCTCTCCCTGTTTTGGGAAAGGATAAAGTCTTCCTCCGAGATTCAGAACTCTGCCCCTCCTAACCAAATGGCCACGTATACCACATGTAGTTATTTGTCCTAGGGTCTTGTTTTTATACTGGAATATCACATTTACTGGGCTTAAAAAAAAAAGATATCCGTTCTCCTAATGCCTGGTGTATACGTCTTCATAATTTACTCTCTACATCCACAGCCTTGAAAACCTAGGTGCGTTTTTATCGAAAGAATGCAGTTATGGTCAAATGGCCCTTCCCCTCTTGTTTTTTTTTTTCACAGACTACTATGGCCAAATTCCAAAGCCAGAAATTGAAAGGCTGTCCTGTTCCTGAATCACTATGGCAGGATGATTACTGCCCTCTCGGTGATACATGTTCTACCCTTCATTCTCTAGAGAATCTGAGTTACCTCTGTATCAAACCACAACTTCCTCTAGAGTCTCTTTGGACAAGACATGTTCCCAAAGCCATCTCTTTGCCCTTCCAGAAAAGAAAAATCCTCCAGTACCTTGTTCCAAGAAAAGACCTCTTACTACACTGCCATTTAATTTACCAGCCTATTCACTTCTGGATTAGCATCTATCCAGCATGTCTCCTCGATAGAAGACTTTGGCTTCTTCCCATACAAGAGAGGCAGCTAGAAGAGCTAGGAATGAAAACTCTTGATGAGTTGTGACCACTGAAGAAAAATTACATCAGAACCTGTTTGGAATACTGTTGCCATTCAAAATAGGATCATAGGATTTTAGGGTTGAAAGGTACTTCAAAGACCACCTAGTCCAATCCTCTCCAATCTGAGACCATGAGAGGGGAATTAACTAGCTACAGTCACACAGGCAGTACAGAATGGCAGAAGCTGATTTCCAGTCTGTGGTCTCTGATGCCAGGGCTTTGGCTACCTATATACTTATTCCACTTGCTATTACTCAAAGCATTTTGGAAACTCTTCGCTTGGGACCCTTCAGAGCACACAGAACACACACACACACATTAACGTCCCCAGTAACTTTTCTAGTTTTTTTTCCCCCATGCAGCTCTCTTCACTTATTCTAAGATCCATCCAAATTGAACTAATCTCCCTCTCCTATATCTATGCCTTGGTGTGCACCATCCCCCTGTTTGAAATCAACTCCCCCCATCCTCAGATCCCCATCTATTGATGTACAGACATCCATCTTTACTTTCAAGACCCAACTCAAGTATTACTTCTTCTAAGAAACCTTACCTGATCATTCTCCTCCCTCACCCCCATCCTAAACAGAAATTAACCCTTCGTCCCAGAATCTATCAGGTGATTTTCTTTGACCTCTCCTGTATCCTCAGTAATTTTCTAACTTGTATTAAAATTATTTGCATTTGTATCTTATATTTCTGCTAGACTGGGGTTCTTAGGTATAGTAATTATGCTTTAAAAAAAAAACCTTTCCAGAATCTAGCACAGGGCCTTGTACATAATGAGCACCTTGTGAAGATTTACTAAGTTGAAATGGTGGCAGATTTTCACACTTAGAGGATGGATCTGATCCAAAGAAACAGGAGAAAGTTATTCAAACCAAGGCAGTGGAACAAGGTAGGTAATCAGGTTGAGCAATACAACTCTGAGCCCCCTATTCCTTTTTTACCTCCACCTTTGAGGCTCCCTGGCTTCCTGCAAGTCTCAGCCTATGTCACCATCTACAGGAAGCCCCTCCTAATCCAGCATTGTCTTCACTCAGTAGAATGCAAGCTCCTTGAGGGAAGAGATTGCTTCTTATTTTGTCCTACTAGGTACTTAGTAAATAATTGTTGGATAGGATAATTTGACCAATTTTCTTGTGAATTGGATTTTGATGGCAATTCCAAATGAGTATGATTTTTCCTTCCTTCCTTCCTTCCTTCTTTCCTTCCTTCCTTCCTTCCTTCTTTCCTTCCTTCATCCCTTCCTTCCTTCTTTCCTTCCTTCCTTTCTTACATGAATAAGATAAAGAAGTTCTTTTCTCATAGCCTAGGTGTTGATTTGCCAATTATAGAGTAAGAAACAAAACTTCTCAGCCATCTCTGCTATCAACTTAACACCTTCAGAAATGGAAAGGCAAAGTTATTCAACCTCCCTTCCCCACACAGCCCATCTTGTGACATCTTGTACTGCTGAGCCATGCCTCCTTGAAATCTTCCAGGTCAAGCATAAAAAAGAAACTAGGGTGGGGGAAAATCAAAGAAAAGAGTGGTAGTGGTGGGGAAAATCTACAATACCGAGGAACCCTTAGCATTTAAATGGAAACTCTGATTATTCATTAGGAAACAGAATTGTCTCAGGAGAGAAGCAGCAGCTAGATGGCACATTGGATAGAGCACTGGGCTATTTCAGGAAGACTCATCTTCCTGAGTTCAAATCTGGCCTCAGACACTCACCTAGCTGTGTGACCCTGGGCAAGTCACTTAACCCTGTTTGCCTTAGTTTCCTCATCTGTAAAACTCGCTGGAGAAGGAAATGGCAAACCTCTCCAATATCTTTGCCCAGAAAACCCCAAATGAGGTTACGAAGAGTCAGGCACAACTGAACAACAAAAAGCAGCCTCCAGTTTCTCCTGATTACCCCAGCTATTGCTGTATTCCCATGTCCAGTACTTTGGACAGTAGCACATGCTTCTGTCAGAAAAGATACCATAACCCTCCCCTTCCACTGTGTGTTCTAAAGTCACAGTAATGGCTTATTTACCTCCTGGCCATCATCCAATGGCACGAGTGTCAACCAATCCCATCAGTTGAAGTCTGAAGGGGAAACCCCCCCCCCAAATATATGTGCCCTGATAACCATGAGAATTTGGGTATTTTCTTTTCTTTTTTGTTTCTTTTCTTTTTCATGAAGAATGATTTGAGAGCATTCGCAGCAAAAAAAGGATGAATTTTTTTTTACACGTCCTAAAGGTGGGGGCAGACCTGTAAACTTGTGGTCTGAGTTTCTAGAACTTCCCCATGCCCCACATTAATGTAGAAAGAATTTTATGACCTTTTTCCATGGATTCTTTCCAGTCCTGAGAGAGATGCTTTACTTCTCAGCCCCTGTTTTTCCCCCACAGCAAAATAAGGCTAATTTAATGGCTCAGATTGAATAGTTTAGATGAACCTTGTTAAATAAAATATGATTTCCCTCATAGGCAGTTAGTGTTTTGGTAGTAGAAAACATTAAAATATCAGATCATGCTGCATCTGATACCATATATATGTGCATAATGCCATAGAATCATGTCAGAGATGGAAAGGGATTTAGCAATCTTCCAACCCCATCACTTTACAGGTGAGGACGCTGAGGTTTGAGAAAGAGAATGAACTTGTCCCAAGTCATCCAGTCCTGCAGCTAGCTAGGGACAGAGCTAGGCCCTATACCCAGGTCTCCAAGCTCCTAAATCCAGAGCTGCTTCCACTCACTATCCCCACACCATCTCTCAACTTCAATAGCAACATTTCCTAATCCTGGAATCCTACAGTTTCTTCTTCCATGAGGAACACCGACAAGACTATGGTAGATTTCCCTTCCTTGAGTGGAAGTTAATTCGTGATCTATTCATAGGACTACAGATTTAGAGATGGATGAGACCTCAGAGGTCAATTTAGGGGTGGGGAACCCACAGCCTTGAGGCCACATGTGGCCTTCTAGGTCCTCAAGTGTGGCCCTTTGACTGAATCCAAACTTCACAGACCAAATCCCCTTAATAAAAGGATTTGTTCTGTAAAACTTGGATTCAATCAAAAGGCTGCACCCAAGGACCTAGAAGGCCACATGTGGCCTCAAGGTCGCAGGTTCCCCACCCCTGATTCTAGTCCAATCCCTTCATTTTACAGATGAGTGAACAGGGCTCTAGAGAGGTGAGAGGATATGCTTAAGATTATGTATCTAGGGGGCAGCTAGGTGGCACAGTGGAAGAGCACCAGCCCTGAACTCAGGAGGACTTGAGTTCAAATACATCTTCAGACCAAACACTTGACACTTACTAGCTGTGTGACCCTAGGCAAGTCACTTAACCCCAATTGCTTAAAAATTAAAAATAAAAAAAAAGGTTATGTATCTAATAAGTAGTATAGCTGGAATTCAAACTGAGGTTCTTGGGATCCAAATCCAAAGGTCTTTCTACTATACTACAATGCCTTTCCCAAGTAATTTTAGAATGTAATGTTTAGGTGGAAAGATAAATATTACTCTGTGTGTGTGTGTGTGTGTGTGTGTGTGTGTTTATTAGTATATGTGTTTAACCTTCATTAAATTCATTCTCTGATCCCTGGTTTCTTGAAGACTTATGCCAGCCTGAAAAGTTTTAAGTCTGGGGTAAAGGACAGACTCTACCTCTTAGCTGTGGATCAGTTTGGCCAGTACATATATATATATATATATATATATATATATATATATATATATATATATATATATATATATGGAGAGAGAGAGAGAGAGAGAGAGAGAGGAGAGAGAGAGAGAGAGAGAGAGAAAGCAAGATTGGCTAATGATAGTGAATTTCTCAGGCCACAGCTGCTATGGTCAACTCTGGAAGACCATCTACTAAGTTGTAGAGTGGTCACAATTTTTATTGGTGGAGGAAAAACACAAACACAATCAAGCTGAAGGGCTGAAATGTATATGTGTGTATATATAT